TCCAATCAATGGCGGATGCTTTTACCTCAATGGGGGGAAGCAATAAAAAGAAAATGGAATGGAGGGAGAGAAAAATGAGTTCCACTTCTGGAAATAGTCATATTAGTGGTGCTATTGGTCCTCCCGGAGGCTCAAATGAGGTTGTGAATTGTATTATCGCGCTTAGTGCTCTTGAAGGGATTGATTCAACTCAATTTTTAAAAGCTACACGTCTTACATGATGATACAGTATAGAGAACAATGTTCCTAGCGATGCTCAACGAGAGAAAGAAAGAGTGGGTATCAAGTCTTCCATGATGCATGCTTGTATTAGGTCAAGGATCTTTCTATTTGTCTCTTGTTATGTTGTTTGTAGTAGTTTAAGGATCTTTCTATTTATCGCTTGTTATGTTGTTTGTATTAGCTTGAGGAACTTTCTAACTTTCTTTTGCTATGTTGTTTGTACTACGTTGAGGACGTTTGTATGTGCTTATTTTATATTGTTTGCATTATGTTTGAGTCAAAAATCATTATTTTCATTGTGATTGAATCTATTACAACTTTAATCGTTTACAATAAACTCAAATAAAAAGTTGATCTTTTTATAAGATCTCCTTATACAATGAAAATACAAAAGATACGACTCTTGTCAAACAGCGCAACGGACGTTATCACCCGCTGCTTGCCTGTGATCTTTGCCTGTACCGGGGACGTTAATATCCGTGGACCGCCGCGGATCAGATCCAGTTGACAGATTAAGTTGATCAAAGCTCTTACTTCACGAAGGAAGTAATCGCTGCAGCGATGATCTCAACCAAGCGAGATCACGGCTCTTCTCGAGATTTAAGACCAAGCTTAAATCCGGAGGAATAGGGGATGTGTCTCAGATCTCTCGAACTCCACTCTTTATGCACAGGAGATCGCCAAGATCTGCTAACCCTCGCTGTAAATTCGTGGCTCCACTCTCCAATTCGGCAGCGTTTCGCCCTCTTGATGTCCACCCCTTGAAATGAGCACCCGAGCTCGTATTTATAAGCTTCGGAAGTGGGTATTTGGATAAGAACGAGTGATTCCTCCTTATCTTCAGTTAAGAACTGATTAACCATATTATCAGATCAGTTGGAACACTCTGGAACAAACAAATCCTAAGAAAAAACCATCAAAACCGAAAATCATCAAATCTGGCCGATTGTCACCCGGTGGCTCGGCCATGGCCAAGCCACCAAATGGTGGCTCGGCCCATGGTCGAGCCACTGGTCTGACCGGGTCGCTTTGGCGCGACTCGGCCGCCAGGGGCTTTATCTGTTTTCCGGGTTTTGACTTGTTCCGTCGTTATGCGTATTTCGTCGTTTCGTTGACTTGTACGCTTCCCTGATTCATTTTGTGAACGCATGGACATCTTGACGGTGGCCGACGGGCGTCCATGCCACTTAGTTCGCCAATTTGATGGTTGGTGAGGGTGCGGGACACTTGGAGGTGGCTGACGAGTGCACGGGTCCTTTGGAGGTGGCCGATGAGTGCACAGGCTAGTCGGTTCGCCGATTTGGTGGCCGATGAGCATGCGGGACACTTGGAGGTGGCTGACGAGTGCACGTGCCCTTTGGAGGTGGCCGATGAGTGCACGGGCCAGTCGGTTTGCCGATTTGGTGGCCGATGAGCGTGCGGGCCACTTGGTGGTGGCCGATTAGCACGCGGGTCACTTGGTTCGCCGTTTTGCTTCATGTGTTCGTCGGCGTCGGATAATCCCCTTAGACTTAGATAATGGTGTTCATCACATTCTCTCTGTCTCGAGCTGTGTGTGGATACCTATAGGCATTTTTAGACGCCTACACATTAGGTCGAGGACATATGTATTTATTTGTGTCATGTTGTCTTTTTTATATGTACCTTGTCTATGGTTGTTTGTGATGTTGAGATTTTTTGGATTGCTTATGTTTATTTTTCTATGACAAAATGTGGTGTGGAGATATTCTACAATTGATTATTTTTATTGTCTGATATATGCTTGTGATGGCTGAGAACTTGATTATTTATTTCTAACCGCATATATTTGTTTATAGGTATGGATACCGATATTGATGTAGATGACTATCAATCATCACCACCTTCTGATTCTAATTTGAATCAGATGAAGAGCAATTTGAAGCAATGTTGGCCATTTATGCAAGTACGGAGTGTAGTGGATTTTGGAATGAGAAGACTCGATCGCAAAGGATCTCAAAATTAAATGGACATGATTAGGTGATTGAGGTTCTAAGCGTACATCCAACTACTTGTTTTGACCTTTCTCAAATGAAGAAGATACATTTGTTTCCCTTTGTGAAGAGTTAAAGAGAATTGAAAAATTGAAACATTCTAGAAATATAATGGTTCAAGAACTAGTAGCAATATTTTTATTCGTGCTCTCTCATAATGAACGACAACGAATAGCTGCAGATTATTTTCAACATTCATTAGAGACTATCTCTAACTAATTAAAAAAGTATTTTATGCAATTTATTCTCTTAACAAATATGTGATCACACCTTCATCATATGATGAAACTCCACTAGAGATATCAACTAAAACAAAGTATTATCCTTTCTTCAAGGTATGGATATATTTCTTCTTTATAAACCCATTATATGTATTGTTGTTTTATCATTGATATAAATGTTAATATATCCTATTTCTTTTGCATGATAGAACTGTGTAGGTGAAATAGACGGTACTCATGTTTCAGCTCGTGTACCTCTAAATGATCAAATCTCATATCGTGGAAAGAAAATTGTACCAACAATGAATATGATGTGTACTTGTTTTTTTGATATGGGGTTCACATTTGTTATGAGTGGTTGAGAGGGTAGTGCGGATGATTCAAGAATTTTGTTAGCATGCATTAGCAATCTGCAAAACAAATTTCCAATGCCTCCTACAAGGAAGTACTATTTGGTTGATTCGGGATATACCAACATGTCGGGTTTTCTTTCACCATATCGTGGAGAGCGCTATCATTTGTTGGAGTATAGAGGGAAAAATATTCCTCCACAAGTTTCCAGAGAGCTATTCAATTACTTGCATTCTTTATTAAGAAATGTTATAGAGTGATGCTTTGGAGTGTTGAAGAAACAATTTCCAATTTTGAGAGATATGCCTCCATATAGTCTGAAAAAATAAAAGTACATTGCATTAGCATGTTGTGTTATTCATAATGCAATTAGAATGCATAATTCTGGAGATCCATTATTTTTTGAGTATGAAAATGAAGATTTTGAGCTCGAGAAAAATGACAGGCAAGCACAAGAACAACATACTATTCTGGTTAATGTTAGCCCAGAGCACCTTCGTTAGATGGTAAAATTTCGAGATCGTTTGGCCCAAGGGTTATGGACTAATCCTAATGGATGATAAAATTGTGTATTATATATCGAGAACTTAATAATGTTATATTATTAATATGCTTTATAATTGATCTATGCATCATTAATATCATTGAACTAAGTTGAATTGTTTATGATAATTTTTTCTTTCTTTATTTTTTTGGACCAATAATGAAAGGGAAATAATTATATGGTGATGGCGACACCGGCGATGCATCAGCTAGTTATCGCTGATGACATCGTCAGCACCGGTCACCAACGCCGGGTGGTTTCGTCGGTAATGATGGTGGCGGCGGGAAGGATACCAGTGTTAATAAAGATTGGAACTAGTATTTAATGATATTTGAAAAACACTGATAAAAGTTACAATAGTGTTTTCAAAGCAATTTAATAAAAAAAATACAACACCAATATGTTTTTCTAGAAAAACATAAGGAGAAAAACATCTTGGAAGCCAAACAAAACCTTAGAATAACCCAAATAAAAAGAGAATCCAAACACAAATGACAAAAAACCCCTCTATCCTCATCACCTCTTATCCACTCCCGCTCATCGAAAAACCCCTTTTCTCCCCCTTCCCCCCTCCACTCATCATCATTACCATCGAGCTCGAAGGAGTCGCAATGGCGGCAGCTTCAGCAGCGGCGATTACCTCCTCCTCTTCCTTTCTCCACTCTCATTCAAACAACAGCAACATCTCATCCTCTCCCTTCCTTATCGGATCCTCCTCCAAATTCGCCCTCCCATTAACAAAACCCTCGACCCGAACCCCTCCCAAGATCCGCACCCGAGTCAACTCCGAGAAGCAGGCGGCGCCGCTCATCCCAAGAGAGCAGCGATGGATGTTCGAGGAGTCCGAGATCAACGGCCCCGTAAGCATTCGCTCACTAACAAACCCTTTTCCCCATATTTTGATACTGATTAGGGTTTTTCAGATATTGGGTCCTCAATTTTCATTTATTTACACATTGGACATAAATTGTGCGCTTAAGATAGACTTATACTTCCATTTGGAGATAAACTTTTAATTTGGGATAAATAATGGGCTTGGATAGACTTATTTTATAATATCAAGTTGTGAGGGCAAAACATATACTAATTGTATCACACAAACCCTAATTAGTTGTTTTTATTTGTTCTTGAAGGATATTTGGAACAACACCTGGTATCCGAAGGCTGCAGACCATATTGCAACGCAAAAGACATGGTACATTGTTGATGCGACCGATAAGATTCTTGGGAGATTGGCGTCCACCATTGCGATACATATTAGAGGGAAGAATTTGGTTACATATACTCCGAGTGTCGATATGGGGGCTTATGTTATTGTGGTATGTATTGGTTCTACCAGAAATTCTTAATTTCTCTTAATTCGTAAAGTTGAATTTAATGGTAGATAAAATCAAATGGCAGTATGTTGGTCGCTAGACCTGTTTCTCTTAATGCTGAAAATGAGCAAAATTTTGTTAGCCTACATATGATCAGTGTTTTAAATGTCAGCTGACATGTCACTGATCTAAATGTCGGCCGACATGTCACTGATCTAAATGTCGGCCGACATGTCGGATTTAGGGACTATCCAACACAATATGAAGCTTTTTAATGCATATTGCGTTTTCAGGGTTCATGTCGAATATATCGGAGGACATGTCAGATATATCGGACGGATATGTCGGGGGACATATCAATTATGTCGGCCGATTTTTCAGTTTGAAAAATTAGCTTATTTTTTTATTTTTTTGGTTATGTTTATCTAATCAGGTTTAGGTTGAAATTCTTGATTGTCTTAATATTACTTCCAAAGACAAAAATCGATAAGTTTCAAAGGCAAAAACCGATAAGTTAAGAGAAATGGAAAAAAAAACGGAAGTAATTTTCGTCACTCATCTTCTCTCTCCTATGACATCTCATCGGTCTCTTCTCCGAGCTATTCTTTCAACATCAATATCGGGTGATCTTCTCTCTTTTTAACCGCCAATATCAAAGTCCTCTTTTCTCATCTCTTTCCTTAACATCAGTCCTAAGCATCATAAATTATTTGTTTTTATATGTTTTGACAATAGAATTTATTAAGTATGTTTAAATTTTATTTATGATATTTATATTATACATGCACACCATCCGATGTGGCAATCCGATATTTTTTCGGTCCCCTGACATATCCCCGATTTTTGCTATCCGACATGAATTTTAGTCATCCAACACGAACCCGACATCCGATATTTAAAATTTACAGATGATACTTAATATCTGCACATGGGGGCATAACTTCTACAAGAAACCTGTAATTTCTCAAAATAGGTAAATTTTAATTCGATGGAAGGCGATGGTGAATTCGCTTTATGTTCTTCCTTAGAGCTGTTTCTCAAGTACACACCTCAGAACAGGGGTTCTGCATCATCGATGAGCTGGGTAGGGGGATAGTGAAGTCATTTCACCCCACTCATCCATGAGATATGTATTCCTGTTTTTCTTAATACCGAAGATGGATAAAAGCTTAATTTGACTATAGATGAAACTTATCCTCCAAGTGTCGATATAGGTGCAGTACGTAGTATGGAACATATGTCTACAAAAACCCTTTAAATTCTCTTGATGCGTAAAAGTTTATCTTGATAATAAACAAAACCAGATTAGCTTTATATGTTTCCTTTTTTTTTGGCCCTCTTAATACCGGAAACATATAGCATTTGGTTAACCGTAGATTACATATGGACTATATGTCATTGTGGTACATCTAACTTCTACAATGACAACAACAAAGCATTTATCCTAAATTGATTGGTTCCATTCATGAATCATTCTTCTATTCAGTCTTGTTAAAGGTCATGTCCTCTGTTGAGGACTACATATAACTTTTTTAAGAAATCCTAGTTTCAATTAGTGAGTCAAATTTAGACTTGATCATGGAGAAAACAAAACTGGGTGGGTGTGGTTCCTTAACCTACACTCATTGTGAACGTGGGGGTATATTTTACTATGGCTTTATGGCTACTAAAAGAAACTCTAAATTTCTCAAGCCGCCTTATTCTAATGCTTCGTGAGAGAACTTGATGGCATTTTAAACCTGGGGCTTGATGATAATCATATCTTGTTTATTATGCTATGCAAAATTTGGTAAATTTGTTATATAACAGCATTGATACTCTTCTCCCCTTGAAACACTTGTCTAGTCATCATTTAGTTAATGGCTAACATTTGCTCGTGTTGAATGCAGATCAATGCAGAAAAAGTTGCAGTTTCTGGTAAAAAGAGGACACAGAAGCTCTACAGAAGGCATTCTGGGAGACCTGGAGGTATGAAGGTGGAAACATTTGATCATCTTCAACAGAGAATTCCTGAAAGAATTATCGAACATGCTGTTCGTGGCATGCTTCCTAAGGGAAGGGTAAGAAAAATATCCCATTGTATCTCTCTCTTCCAGCATAGTTAAGACAGAAAATGCGATAGAAAAATTATAACACGATATTGATTAACTTCAGTGATTATACTGTTTGGCCACCAATTAAAGTATTAATGATATAAGAAACTACTTCCTGATAATGCCAACAAACTCCCAGTTAGTTAGGCTTCTGTCTTTCTATTACTATTTAATCTATGATAAGGTTAAAGGAAGTGTTGACATATTAGTATTATTAGGGACTTATTTGTAAGATTTGTAGGGGGCCTATATAAAGCCCAAGAGATATCATAATGAATTAGGGTTTTCATTTCTTCATGGTATCAGAGCCGGCTGCCTCCCCTCTTCTCTCCTAGCCGCCGCCCCCAATGTTTTGCATGCTCCTTCTTTTCCAGTCAATCTTTTATCTATTAGTTCTATCATCCTCCAACTAAAATGCATCGTCTCTTTTGATATTCCCAAGGTAATCTTCCAGGAGAAGGGGACAGGGCGGAGACTTGGGACTGGCACATGGCGTAGTGGACTGTGGTATCTGGATCGTGAAGGGCTGGATTCAGCATTGGTGTCAGTCATAGAGGAAGCAGGAGTAGGATCTAAAATGAGTGCTGAAAATGAGTTAATGCTCCATCACCAGCGTTTGGGACACTCATCCTTTAGTGTTTTAGGTAGATTGTATCCTTCTTTATTTGAGAAAGCAAATAAACAGAAACTTGTGTGTGATGCATGTGAGTTGGGAAAGCTTACTAGAAGCTCTTATGTTAGTTCTGGTCATAGAAGTTCTCATGCATTTGACCTGGTACATTCAGATGTTTGGGGGCCTTGTTCCACAAGTTCTATGAATGGATACAAATATTTTGTTACATTTATTGATTGCTTCTCTCGTGTTACTTGGTTATACCTGATGAAGAATAAGAGTGATGTGTTTGGGTGCTTCCAAAATTTTCATAAGACTGTTCAGACTCAATACGGAGCAGTGGTGAAAGTATTGAGGTCAGATAATGGGACAGAGTATACCAACAGAGCCCTTGAAGAATATTTGTCAGCTCAAGGAATACATCACCAGACAACCTGTCCATACACTCCAGCACAGAATGGGGTAGCGGAAAGGAAGAACAGACATCTTTTAGAGGTTGCTAGAAGCATGATGATCTCTATGAATGTCCCAGAGACATTATGGGGACAAGCAGTATTGACCGCAGCAGCGTTGATCAACAGAATGCCCTCGAGAGTGCTGGATTGGAAGTCTCCGTGTGAGATATTGAAAGGAGATAATGGTGGGATCCTTCCACTCAAAGTGTTTGGCTGTGTGTGTTTTGTGAAGGACAACAGGCCGTCTGTCGGGAAGCTTGCCCCTAGAGCTGTGAAGTGTATCTTTGTGGGATATTCTGCTACTCAGAAGGGATATGTTTGCTGGAGCCCGGTGGAAAAAAGGTTGTTTGTGAGCATGGATGTGCACTTTCGAGAACTCGAGCCATATTACACTCAGAAGGTAACTTCATCTGCTGGTAACTCGTCCAATACTAGAAGTATGGGGCGAGAGGAGGAGAATGGTGAGAGACCGGAGAACAATGTGGAGAAATCCATTTCTGTATCGATTCCTTGGGAGGGCGAATTGGTTGAGGAGGAGTTGGTTGAGGAGGAGCCGGAGAATCACGAAGAAAAGGAACAAGAGACAAGAGGTGTTAGGCCCACTGTTCAGGGGGAGCTACTAACCTATAGTAGGAAGGGCAAACAAATTGGAGAAACAGTACCTACAGTGCCACTAGTGCTGCCAAGTCTCTTGCCAAAGCCCACCCCGACTCCTGAAATACCTACACCACCACCAATTTCATCCCAAGGTGATAACATTCCTACTGATAACATTCCTCTCCCTACTCCTCCCACACCAATATCAGTACGGAGGACTACTCGCAGTAATGCGGGACATCCTCCCGATAGATATGGTTGGGATCTTGCCCAGTATGTATCATATTCTAGTATCCACCCTGCATATGGAGCATTCATTGCATCATTGGACTCTGTTACTGTACCTAACAATTGGCAGGTTGCTAAGAAGGACCCAAAATGGAAAGCGGCTATGCACGAGGAGCTAGGAGCTCTAGAGAAGAACCGCACTTGGGAGCTAGTAAAGTTACCAGAAGGAAAGAGAGCAGTTGGATGCAAGTGGGTCTTCACTGTGAAGCAGAATCCAGATGGACAAGTTGAGCGCTACAAGGCTCGCCTGGTGGCAAAAGGGTATAGTCAGACATATGGCATCGATTATGATGAGACTTTTGCACCGGTGGCGAAGATGAGCACTGTTCGGACCTTAATCTCTCTGGCAGTAAATGGTGGATGGAAGCTACACCAACTAGATGTGAAGAATGCATTTCTTCATGGAGATCTAGTGGAGGAGGTATACATGGAGATACCACCAGGATTTGGTACAGATCAGACAGTGGGAAAGGTCTGCAGATTGAAGAAGTCTCTCTATGGTCTGAAGCAATCTCCCCGTGCTTGGTTCGACAGATTCAGAAGGGCTATGATTGGTATGGGATACCAACAGATCAACGCCGACCATACAGTGTTCTTTCGACGGAGTGGAGGCCACATTACTATGCTTGCGGTATATGTGGATGATATGATTATTACAGGGGATGATGAGAAGGAGATTGCCCAACTCAAAGTGAGACTGGGTAAGGAATTTGAGGTGAAAGATCTTGGCTTGCTTAGATACTTTCTTGGAATAGAGATAGCTCGAGGAGCGGAAGGGATCATCCTATCCCAGAGAAAGTATGCACTGGATCTTCTCAAAGAGACAGGAATGTTAGGGTGCAAACCTGCAACTACACCGATCGACCAGAGGTTCAAGCTAGGTGCTGAGGCTGGAGAACCAGTTGATCGTGACAGATATCAGAGGTTGGTGGGAAGGCTGATCTATTTGAGTCACACACGTCCTGATATCTCCTTTGCAGTAAGCGTGGTGAGTCGCTACATGCACGATCCGAGGAAGGGTCATATGGACGCTGTGTACCAGATTCTGAGATATTTAAAGAGTGCCCCCGGAAAGGGGCTGATATTCAGAAAGAATGGACATGTGAACATCGAGGGTTATTGCGACTCTGACTGGGCTAGCTGTGCTGATGACAGGAGGTCCACCTCAGGATATTGCATCTTTATAGGAGGTAACTTAGTCTCGTGGAAGAGCAAGAAGCAGTCAGTGGTGGCGAGATCGACAGCCGAGGCAGAGTATAGAGCTATGGCCTTAGGAGTTGCTGAGTTGCTATGGTTGAAGAGTATGCTGGTGGAGCTGAAGCTGGATCAAGGAGATAAGATGAAGTTATGGTGTGACAACAAGTCAGCTATAAGTATTGCCAACAACCCAGTGCAGCATGATAGAACCAAACACATCGAGATCGATAGGTTCTTCATCAAAGAGAAGTTGGATAGTGGACTACTGGAGCTAAGTCATGTTTCGACTAAGGACCAGGCAGCAGATTGTCTGACTAAAGGACTCAACTCAGTAGATATGATTAGAGGATGTGACAAGATGGGCTTAATAGATATCTTTCGCCCATCTTGAGGAGGAGTGTTGACATATTAGTATTATTAGGGACTTATTTGTAAGATTTGTAGGGGGCCTATATAAAGCCCAAGAGATATCATAATGAATTAGGGTTTTCATTTCTTCAGGAAGCCAATGCCACTTTATCACCACAAATATATGGAGGTTCTGTAGTGCCTTCGTGACACATAAAGTATTCCGTGTATGATTTTGCTTGTTAAGACTTAAGAATGAACTCTGTAAAGACTAGATTGTATTCAACAAGTAGCAAAATCCTTGTATTTTATCTCATGGTTGTACCTTATGGTTAGAAACATTTCTATCTGAAATTTAGAAATGAGAATGATGATATTCAACAGTCTTGCCTGCATACTTCCTTGCGTACATGTTTTGCCTCCTTGATAGCTGTCATTAAGTCTTTTATGATAATTCGGTGCATCATATAGTCATCTCCTTCAGAAAGAGGGGTACACACAGCAGTTGTATATTGGGGAAATGTATTTCAAGCTTAAAATATGTTCAGTTTAAGATACCCAAAATGAAATCACATTCGAGAAAGCTGCAATCACTCATTGACAACGACAGTATTCTAATGCAAATAACTTATGGCTTCTTGTTCAGATTTATCTAAAGTCAAATTTTAGGTGACGTCTATCGGTTTAAGAAATCACATAATTGGAAAAAAGTGATTTGTTGGTTACGACCAGAGAGATCTTATAGGCTTCACTTGTCCCATATTGAAACCAAAATTGTGGCCCGTCCAGAAGCTTCTAGTGTCTCATGTTAAGGGTTAACATTTCTGGTGAATAATATATCTGACATACAGCACTGTTACTGCTATTTGATTAAGGGTTTAGCTGCAAATGCTTCCACTGTACCTATTTTGTGTGTCATTTCATTTCCATGCACCTTTGCTTATCAACATTCTATACATAATCTGTTATTGGTTAAACAGATGACTTATAATACTGAAGATGATTTACTCTCCTTTAAGGTAACAGACTTTATTTTATGTTGAGCAGCTGGGAAGAAGTCTATTCACCCACCTGAAAGTGTACAAAGGGCCTGAGCACCCACATGAGGCTCAGCAACCTATTCCCCTTCCTATCAGAGACAAGAGAATACAGATTGAGAAGTAAAATCTGGCGAAAAACTCAGTACTTCGTTTTGTGAGAGCCTTGCTTGGCTAAGCTTAATCCACACTTATGGAGATCACATTTGTTGTACCTTGCCTCCTTGTATTGTTTAAATTCTCTTTGTAGAGTTTGAGTTCGAACGAATCGTCTTTTGATGTTCATGTGCTGAATCACCTTCAAGACAAATTGTATTGCTACTCACACACGCATCAATATATGTTTTGCGCTGATGTCAATTGATATGGATAATGATATCTAATTGGATTCGTGATATTTCGATATGAACTTAGCAGATTATTAGTATGTAACGTTTTAAACTATGAATGAAACAAGAAATTGTAGGTTTCGGCATTGGTACCTGACGCCCAAAGTTCTTACCGAGGTTTCAAATAATGATTCGAAGAGGTTGTGGAATTAGTTTGTTTGTCATGCGATGCGTTAGCATTCAAATAGATAGTTGAATGGTTTACTAACGAGTTTGGAAGAAAAAGGAGACGGCTAGATTTGTGGAAGAGAGGAGTGAATAGTAGATGAAACCCCAGTATTATGGAGTAACTAGCGAAATTTAATAGGATTGGAAAAAAAAACAATTGCCGTTCGTCAATCCTGCAACCAGTGGAGCCGTTTTAAGTATATAGTGGTAGATTATGTACAGTCAGTACAGAAATCTTTCTTCTACTCGGTGCCTGCGTTACTTAAAATTTCGGTTAGGGTCGTCCAACGGGAAGCCCCTACTTCTATCGAATCACAGTTGAGCAGACCGCGTCTTTCATTTTACCTCTCCTGAGTTGAGACACCGAGCTCTGGCTGAACTGATTCTAAATGACCGGGCCTCATCCTTGTCCAGCCCTCACCATCTTCGTAGCAGTCCAATCAAGGTTTAGCTGACAAACAGCGAAGGGGCACCAGAGCAAGGTTTTTTCTTCTTCAAGGAGTACCAGATCGAGAGTATTCGATGTGCAACAGGATGTATGGTGCGTGAGCTCCTAGCATCGACGTGATACAGGCTTTGCCATACATCCTCGCACGCTAAAAAAATTTAGCGTGGGCAGACCTTCGATGAGCTGTAGACAGGCGTTTCTTGTCAACAAGAGTCGACAGCTAGAGGAGTTTGGAGCGTGAGGCGGGCGTAATGCTCCACTGTTGGAGAGTGAGATATCGTCCATCGCCGCTCCTGCCCCTACGGAACTCATGAAACTATCCCCAAGGGTCTTGATTTAGACCCAAAATCCATGGGGATCAAGCACGGCACCTGTCATTCCGATAATATCTCCTATCCCCTTCACCTCCCACCCTTCCACCTGGGTATTTAAACAAGCACGCTCCTACTCCTGAACTCTTAATTGTGACAATCTTGGTGGGGATGCATCGAAGACCATATGCATCCGGCCTCATCCAAAAAATCGCGCTTTGAAAGGCGAGTAGATGTGGTTTGGTCTTCGATGGGGTCGCCAGAAGGCGATGGGAGATGGATGGCGCGTGCGTCCTTCGATAAACACTAGCTTCTCTTTGAACAAAAGGCCTTACTTTCATTACGAAAGAGAGTGCTCGATCGACTGCATTTTCCATCAGGGCTCTGTCCGCTCGGAACAGAGGGATAATGAAACAAGGGGTGCTAAAGAGTACCATAAAACTCTCATCGCCAAGAACTCCGAGCTGTAAAATTGAACAGAGCAGTATACAAACAATGTTGGGTGAGTTCATCATGGATCACTCCGCTCTTGTCTCAGTCTCTCTCTCTCTCTCTATGGAAACGGACTCGTAAATGCAACATAAATCAATTGTAGAGAGAAATCTATTCAAAGTTTCAAAATCCTACACACACAGATCTCCCCCATTTTAACCGCATCAACCGCAAATCGGACGAACAGAACAAAACGTTTTGCAGCCAGACGCAATCAGAAATTCGAGAACCGATACAACAGCAAGCAAACAAAAAAAACCCAAAATCCCCACCCAGGAGATCAGGAAGCCGACGAGGGGTTGCAAGAGAAGACCTGATGAGGGAGCCTCCACGCCTCCACGGATCCGAAGCACATGTCGTCTAGGGTTTCGCTCCGGCACCACCGACACCACCTCGACTTGGCCTCGCACTCCGACCTCGACCCGATCTCTCTGCACTCCGGGCCGGGGCCAGGTCGCCGCCGCCGCAGCTAACGGCGTGCGGTCTCTTGCGCATGGGTGTAGGAGAGAGAATGAGGATCGCCGAACAGAGCGAGGAGGAGAGAGAGGATGAGGAGGTGTGAAGGAGCCCTGATCGCCATGGATCAGGGACGGTGAGAGGGAGGAGCAGGGTTTTTTTGGTGCGCTCGGGGTTCGAAAGGGGGCTAGATCTCCTGCTCCGTGTTCTTCGCGGTCAAAAGACGTCGCGGTCGGATCTCAGCGTGATCCTTAGCTGGGGATAAGATTGGTTTATTTACATATTAGTCTTTCAAATATTGCATTTTGCTCAGTAGTCCCTCGAATCTTTAAGGGTCTTCCAATTTGGTCCCTTAATGAATGAACAAAATACCCCCATTGACCCCTTCGCCGGCCCTCAGTCATCCCTTCGTCCAAGTTAACACGGCAGCTCTTCTTCTCTGTGCTGCTGCAGTAGATTGAAGACGAGCGGTATGGGGAGAGGGTTATCCAATGGCGAATGACGATCGAAGCTATGGCACAACTAGTTCGGTCCTCTCGTCTCGGTCGAAGATTGGATTTAACGAGAGTTCCAATCTTCCAATCATGCTCAAAGAGTACACGTGAAAGGTCAATAGATTAAATAATATTAGGGGATTGGTGTCGGTTCCGATGGGTAAATAATACGAGGAAGGTACTTGCAACTAGTGAGATTGCTCAGAGACATGATGAGTGGGGGCGTTGCGTCAGACGTTTGTGTTTATTATGAGGAGTTTGGCTTAGAGAAGATGGGAGAGAGGAGGGTATTCTGGTCATTGAGGGACCAAATTGCAAGACTCTTAAGATTTAACGGACTAATGAGCAAATTCTAATATGTAAGGGTATCATATGGAGTTATTAAAAAGTTAAGAGACTGCTATTTTTTACATTTGCCTCTTGATAGTTTAGTGGCTAAGTTAATAACTAAACCCCTTAACTCAGGGTATTCTTGAAGGTACCCCCTTCAATATTGTAATTCCAAGGCCAGTGAACTTTTGGAGTTCCGGGTATAGCCCTCTGAACTTCTTTTATTCCATTAAACCTTTAAAATTTGTCATTTTAACCCCTCAAAATAACACTACCGAGTCTAAGATGGGACCAACAATAATCCTCAGAAAATGGAGTCCACAATTCCCCTCGGTCCTCCAAAAATAGTGTAATCCAGGAAACCTTTCAAGAAGAAGCTCAGAGGAGGTTACGCACAAGGCTCCTCAAAGTTTACGGAGCCGGGTGCAAATCTTACGAGCATGAAAGGACTCAAAAAATAAAAAAACATTTGGAGATCTAGATTTGGGCGGGGGCCGCGCGTGCGCGTACCCCCTCAGCAACAAATAACGACGTCCACTCTCCCACTTGGGGAGAAGGTAGGCCAGCGCACCCGACCGAGTGCAATGCGGGCCACTGGCCCAGGCCTGGGCCTTCTTGATCACCCAAGGACCCCGTCCAGGTAAGTATGGAACAACGCCGCACCAACGAAGTCTTTTATAA